GGATAAACACCACAAATCAAAACATATATCTTACATAAAACAAAATTCTTCCACTCGACGAGACCCACAGTTACAAAAAAAAAAAAATACAATATATGACCTAAACACGAAATCTGTCAGTCCTACAAATAAACACCAACTATTATGCCAATAAACATGAAGTTCTTGACTACTATAACCACCCAGTGTATTAGAGGTCGGTAGAGGTCAAGTCTCTTCACGGGGGTCTCTGGAAATAAACCCCATTGGCATAAATTGAAGAAGAAAAAGAGAAAAAAAAACCTCTCCATGAAATCAGTAGAATGAATGTAATTTAACATGAAAAGCAGAAACTCTAATTATACTCAGTGATGGTCAGAGGTCATGTCACTCTTGATGGTCACTATCTCAGGGGGGGGGGGTAATCCTCGTTCTGTTCTTCCTTACTGCTGCTGGCGGTTTGATCATCATTCACCTCATTTTCGTGTTTGTATTAGTATAGCCTCTGGTGAGTCTGGTATGAAACATTAATACGATACTTTTTTTTTTGTAGTTGAGTTTCTTATTCTAATCTACTGCTTTTTTTTTCTCATAGTTACTAAATTAAGTATGCTGAAGGGGGAATTAATTATACACAGATCAATTTATCTTCCTCCTTGAAATAAGAAGCTGAGAAAATAAAATAATTCCTTATGTGAAGAAAATAAATCCTTTCAGTAGACACTCAGTCAAGAACTACATACATATGTTTGACTGACACACATACATCATAAAGCAGCATTACAACTAATCATACAAACGATATTTGCATCAATAAGATCTAGTTTTAATGAAATATCTTTAAATGTAACTTTTTTCGTTAACTTTAGTGATTATTAAAGTATCAGTTCACAAGAATATCACGGAATTTTAAGGGTCTTTTAACATATTTGTATTCAATTAATTTCTCATTTCGTTTTAATGGGTCCTCGCAGAATTAGTCGTATGAGCAAACGAACCCCAGCAATTGTGTTTAATTCCTCAAAAATTCTCACTACCCTAACGAGTTACTAGAGGAAGGTGCTAACATTCCGCTAAAAATACCACAGAGGTTTTTATGCGGCATATCACGCATGCTATAAAACCTTTGGAGAATGTAGGTGTTTTATGAGTCACTGAAGGAATGATAATGTTTACTCTGCGCCATTTTACAGTGATGATGATATATATCTATAGCTATTTTTATCTATATTTATAGCTATGTATTTATCTATTTATAGCTATATTTACTGTATATCTATAACTATATCAATATCTATATATATTTATAACTATATCTATATTTATAATTATCTGTATCACTAACTATATCTATAACTATATCTATATCTATATCATTATCTATATCTATATGTATTTGTATCTATATTCATATCTACATTAATTATTATTTCTCGGATAAAAGTGTATAAAGTTTTGACTCTGGACATAATTTTGTTACCTCGGAGTTGTGTGTGGGAGAAACAGTCACGTCATGATATCGTAGACACAGATAATAAATCCATGAATATTCCTTCATTAAAATAGAGAAGAAAAAAACCTCACTCCATGTTATGTAAATATACGTTAATTTATTTTAATTACTAACCTTTTCATCCTTTTCCGAAGTCTCGAATAAATTTATGTATTCTATTAAATTTCCTGTTGCGTTAGTATTATTATTTTTTTATATTTCACAATTTTTATCCTTATGTGTGTGTGTGTGTGTGTGTGTGCGCGCGTACTTGACCTTCGTATGAATGTTATATGCTGTAAGTAGATTTCATAACATCAAGACTAATAGAATTCTTTACAGGGTTTTTCAGACAGGTTTCAGTATCATATAAAGGTCAGATGATTACTATAGCTCTATTAAAAACTGTATCACGATTGGATATTGGATACTGTGCTGCATCCAGTTACTCCCACGACCCAGATATTATTTTTAGAATTCACACACTCCCCATGAGACACACCCACGTGAGACCTACACCACACCTTCACTGTATATTTTCAACTTTTTGCCTGCCATGTTCTTTCAATACACCGTTTATTATTAGTAGTAGTATTATTATTTCATTCATTCGCAGATATATACACATCTAGCAACATACACACACACACACACACACACACACACACACACACACACACACACACACAGTGAGGTCAAGATAATCTTCAGAAAATTATATTCATTCTGTGTTATAGAATATATGTAATTATTTATCACCTGCCCATGATATATAACCAAGGTACACGTCTGGTATTGACTCTATACTGCTTGTGACAGGTGTGAGGGGGAGGACATGATTAAATACCTTCCTACCTTACAATTAGAAGATAAATACAACCAGTACACGTCATGACCTCGTTAGCTACTCATGAGGCAGAAGGGTCAGCAGGTCACCTAAAAAAAAAAAAGGACTAGTTAAAATAGCCTGTGTGGCGTGGTGTCCTAAGGGTGGCTATTGGGTGCTTTTATTTCACATGGTAATTAGGAAGCTCTGTTGCCATAAAGTTTTTATCAAGAATTCAAAGGGACAAGACCTCCTGCTAATGCAAGGAGATCTAATTAAATTCCTCTAAGCTTATTGCTGTTCATTTTTGAAAGACTTTAAAGACGAAAAGTCTTCTTTTTTTGTTTCTGTCTTGCTGCCATGTACGAATGTGTGTGTGTGTGTGTGTGTGTGTGTGTGTGTGTGTGTGTGTGTGTGTGTGTGTGTGTGTGTGTGTGTGTGTAGGAGTGTGTTATATACCGGTAATTTGGTGTCTTATTTTACCGGAAAATCTGGCCTTATTTTGACCGGAAATATTGGTATTATTTTACCGGGAGATATAGCAGTATTTTACAGAAAATTTGGGTCTTATTTTACCGTGAATTTTGGCTGAGGGAATGCAATTCTTTGAATGATCGAGGGAAAGTAGCTCTCTGATTGGTCGAGGGAATGGCGCTCTCTGATTGGTCGAGGAATGGAGCTCTCTGATTGGTCGAGGGAATGGCGCTCTCTGATTGGTTGAGGGAATGGAATTTTCTGATTGGTCGAGGATTGGTGCTCTCTGATTGGTCGAGGAAATGGAGCTCTCTGATTTAACAAAAAGCTCTCTTCCGAGTGTTTAATCACCCCACAGAGTACCTGGGGAAGTCATGGTGTTCCTTAATCCTTTACCGCAATTTCCCCAAATTCTATTCCTCTCACAATTTCATACATATTTTCTTTTTAATCGGCATATAAAATAGTGTCTTGTAAACCCCAAATATTTTTTTGTTTGAAAATTCATATTCATAGGAAATTCAAATAAGTGAAGAGAGCAAAAACTTATTTTCGTCAAGATATCTTGAAAAATGCAATTGACTTCATGAGTCTGAGAGAGGATATAAAGGGGACTTTAAAACGATTTTTATTCATTTTTATCATATAACATTTAAATGTCAAGCGCGCACACACACACACACACACACACACACACACACACACACACACACACACACAGTTCAATTTGAAGTTTAATCGAGTTTTTTCTCGATACTGTAAGACAAACTGTTATTGGCTTTTACATTACTTCCTTGGGTATGAGGGTCTTCCTGTGCTGAATGAAATCGTCTGATGATAGTCAACTATAATAATAATAATGATAATTATTATTATTATTATTATTATTATTATTATTATTATTATTATTATTATTATTATTATTATTATTATAATGCCAAGTTTCTTTAATTTAAGTCCTGGCTTTAAATTTAGTTGTTGTTTTTGATGCTTTGAAAGGTTGCATATCTACACTACAGGCTGATAAGATGAAAACTTTGACATTTTTTATGTTTCATCTTTAAATTAAAAATTACATCCTCTAATAAACGCTGCCCAAATTAAACTTCATTTTCAAACTCACGGATTTTTTTTTTTGGGGGGTTTCTTCAAGAGTGCTTCTTTGATTTTGGTCTTTGTCGGCTATTTGATTTTCATAGAAATATTAAAAAAAATGAACGTTGTAACATCTTCGCCATCAGCTTCACTGAACGGAACAGTTCTAAAGTAAAGATCCGAGACTCGGTGGCCGATTGTTTTTGTTTTCAATCCTTTCCGTCAAGAATTCAAATTTCTTCGAGGATCGACTTGTGCTGAAAAATAATGCAATGAATTAGTGAATTAATAGTTGATACAAGAGATTTATCGCCTCGAAAGTTCTGATTGATTTCCTGTTACCTGACTGCTAATGTGTGTTAGTGAAATTTGTAAGGGTCTTCATCAACCAAAGTTAGAGTGTAGCTTGTGTGTGGTAAACTGTGTGTGGTAAACTCCTCCCCGCCATGCAAGTTAAGACAATCAGACTTGTACTAATGTGTTCAGGAATTCATGGGGTTACAGCTTTGCAATGGCTAGATACTTCCACCAATTTCATTCAGAACTCAAATTCCTCTCAACAGTGCGTGATGATCTGTAGTACGTTTTAGGCGTTGTCATTCTAGATATTTTATTTATCATGAACGATTTATTTTTTTCCTTGTCGTCTGGTCTTGTCTCTGAAGAATATCTCATCAATGCCTCAACTAATTGACCCTAAAGTTGTGTCGTGTATGTGTTAGGATTTTGAAGTTACAATGACAATCAATAAACCTGAACCCACAGTAAAGTTAATGAAGTGACGTGATTTTTCCGGTAGTAATACAATTTATCTGGCTGAATATACTGTAGCTATTTTGTTTTGGACATAAGGGAAGTGACATCATTGAACTGGAAATGACGTACAGTATTAATATAAAAAGGAGCCTATTTTTTTTTAAGAGGAAAGCTGTAGTTAAAGAACAACTGGAACAAAGTAATGTACTGCATTCAGGTCTTAAGTGATAGGCGACTTGTTCATATTAAAACCAATATTTTTTTTACGTAAGGATTTTTTACGTACATATCATTAACTATTTAACTTTTTAGCTTGTTATTAATTGTAATTCAACATAATTATATACTTAATTTTTGTTCTTTCCCTTTCTCCTTCAGGGATGCCGACAGGGGGCGGTGGCCGTACAAATACTGGCACTAGTGGCACCAGCGGCAGTGGCGGCACCTCCTCGAGCGGTGGCAGCGGCGGCAGTGGTGGCAGCAATATCGGCGGCAGTGGCTTGGGCGGCACGGGTGATGGGGGCGGCGGGATTGTGGGCGGCGGGGAGGGTATTAGTGGCTCGAGCAGGTTCCTGGAGCTGGTGCCGCCCATGATCATCGTGCTGGTGGCCTCCCTGTCTTGTATCCTCATCATGGCGCTTCTTGTCATACTCCTGCTGAAGAGACGAGGCAGATCACGCCGTATGGAGCGAGAGATGGAGCAGGTGGGTGTAGATGGGTGTTGGTGGATGTGGGTGATGGTGGTGTAGGGTGGTGGTTGTGATGTTGGTAGGTGATGGTGGTGTATGGTGGTGGTGGTGATGTAGGTAGGTGATGGTGGTGTAGGGTGATGGTGGTGTTAGATGGGTGGTGGTGTAGATGGGTGTTGGTGGTGTAGGGGGGGTGGTGTAGGGGGGTTGTGGTGTAGGGGGGTGTCTTAGTGTAGGGGGGGTTGTGGTGTAGGGAGGTTGTGGGTGTAGGTAAGTGATGGTGGTGTTGATGAGTGTACATGGGATAGAGTTGTATGTGGGTGTAGATAGATAGTGACATGTAGGTGAGTGGCACAAATAGGTGACGGTAATGTAGGCAGGTGATAGTGGTGTAAATGGGTCATGGTGATGGTGCAGGTCAATAGAATTAATGATAAGCTGCTTAATATATATAGATGGAGATTAATTGATAGATAATATAATTCCCAATATGTCCTCCCTAATAGACCCCCCACCCCCACCCCCCACCCCCCCACCCCTCTCCTCAACCCATCAAGGGAATTACTATCTTTATACAGACTTAACTATAATCTACGTGAATGGCGGGTTAGTAACATTTAGTGATTATGTTGTTTTGGAGAATATGAGGTAATTATGTATTGGTATTAATATTATTAGTAAATGATTCAAGTAAATACATATATATTTGTTGTATATATTCTAGCTTCGAATAATCAATAAAATATGTATAGATTATTATTATTGTAGTTTTAAGAATAATAATAATAATAATAATAATAATAATAATAATAATAATAATCACGTCCATAATTGGTGGTGGCAACAGAACATTCAGGTAATCAACTCATTGTGTACAAAAAATACCACTCACCCTCGTCTCCAAACTCCCTAGACCGGAAGTAAGAGATCGATAAGGTGTGTTTGGGGGGGCCGGGGGGATAGGGAGTCTTAGTGACGTCTTCATAGAGCTCTGTCTGTCTGTCTCTCTGTCTCTCTCTCTCACACATTCACTCTCTTTCGTCCCCGTAGGTGAAGCTGAGCGAGGAGATGGTGTTTGTACATAGCAGAAACCCCGACAGCACCTCTCGTGACACCCCAGGTAAGTTTGACAGCCCAAGGTACTGAGATTCTTAAAAGATTTGATGCTTTATATCTCCTCACACTCGCTAGCTGTAAGAGAGAGAAACTCCCACGAATAGCCTGAGTGAAAGTCCAACTTCATTCTGTACCATAGTTTATTAATTAAGTCAGTTTGAAACGTTCTTAAATCTTTGAGTAATAAAAAGGTAAAATTACGTATGTTTAATTTTTTTTAGAATCTCGGTAAAATTGTGTTTATTGGAGTCCTTCGTCCCTTAAGCGGTAAAAAAGTGCTAATATATGAATAGTAAAGACCCAGTATAATTTCTATCTGATGTTCGATGTCATGTTTTATGGGGGGTTTTTTCTGGTCTAATTAGAACACTTCATCGTCTCTCCAGCATGAAAAAAAAACATAATAATAATAAACTTAACTCATTGATGTACTTTATAGACAGTAGAGTCCCAGAACAGCTTGGACCTCATGTTGGCTGTTATGTTTCTGATGTAGTAGATGTAAGCATTATTGTGTCTCCTGTTGACTCTAGAAAAAAAAAGACATACGAACTTTTTTTTTTTCGCCATCCAGGTGAGAATATTGCTGGAGATGAATTGTGGTAGGGAACAGTTTGTGAGGTTGATAGATGGATTGTGGTAGGGAACAGTCTGTGGGGTTGATAGATGGATTGTGGTAGGGAACAGTTTGTGAGGTTAATAGATGGATTGTGGAAGGGAACAGTGTGTGGGGTTAATAGATGGATTGTGGTAGGGAACAGTGTGTGGGGTTAATAGATGGATTGTGGTAGGAAACAGTGTGTGGGGTTAATAGATGGATTGTGGTAGGGAACAGTGTGTGAGGTTAATAGATGGATTGTGGTAGGAAACAGTGTGTGGGGTTAATAGATGGATTAGTGTGTGGGGTTAATAGATGGATTGTGGTGTGTGTGGGTTAATAGATGGATTGTGGTAGGAAACAGTGTGTGGGGTTAATAGATGGATTGTGGTAGTGGACAGTTTGTGGGGTTAATAGATGGATTGTGGTAGGCAGCACCTCGTGGCGTTAAGAGGTGGAAAACTGGGTTGGATCGCTGAGGGGCCACCAAGGTCTTGAACCCGCCCACATAAAGGTGCTAGAGCCAAAGGGGGAGAGGATGAGAGAGAGGGTGAGAGGGAGAGAGGATGAGAGGGAAGGAGAGTGAGAGTGAAGGAGGGAAGGTGGATGAGAGGGAGGGAGAGTGAGAAGTGAAGGAGGGAGAATAGGTGTGGGGAAAGTATAGGTAAGAGAGAGTGAGAGAGGATGAGAGGGAGAGAGGATGAGAGGGAGAGAGGATGAGAGGGAGAGAGGGATGCGGGAAAAATGAGAGATAAAAAGAAGAGAAGCAGGGGAAAGGACTGAAAGAAGATGAAGGAGGGGAGAGAGGAAGAAAGAAGAAAGAGAGGGGGGGGGTGAAGTAGGACAGAGAGGGAGGGAAGGGAGCTAGAAAGAATGAGTGTCAGGCAGGCAGGTAGGTCACTCATAGAGAGAGAGAGAGAGAGAGAGAGAGAGAGAGAGAGAGAGAGAGAGTTTTCCTATCCTGTTAATTTATGGGTCGTCGCTTCTTGTGTGTGTGTTAAATATGTAAAACAAATAAAGAAATACATAACATCACCCACACAGAGACACTTGATGAAGTTTCACTGTCACTCTAGTCTGTTGGTCTCTAGACTAAGTTGGTCTTTAGAGTAAGATGGTCGCTAGAGTTAGTTGGTCTTTAGAGTAAGGTAGTCACGAGTCAGGTAAATCAGTGTCGACATTTTGTTACTTCCCGTTCTGAAAATCTTGTAAGGATGGGGTTATAATTGTAGAGGCTAAAAGTGCTCTTACCTGCGTCGACCTTTGACCTTAGCGTTAGGTTAGGTGGTCACTAGCGAAAGAAAGTCGACAAAAAGAAAAAGGACGTGAGAAAAAAGGGTTTTCTTTCACCTGAGGGAATTTTCGTAACGAGCTTGTGATAATGATGGAAGCTGAGTGAGGTGACTTGACCTTCCTGGGATGACCTTTGGCCTTGGTATCTGTCGGATATGTAAAAAAAAAAAAAATTAGACACCTTAAATGGATCAAGTAAGATATCTCTCTCTCTCTCACATTAGTTCCAATAATTTCATCTCTCCATTTCTATCTCTGTCTCTCACTCTTTCCAAAAATATCCTTTCCAATTCTCCAACTCTCATCCCACTCTAGGAATCTGTCTTATTAACCCCGCCTTTCCCTGTCTACCTGTCTTTTTAGTCTGTCAAACTCTGTCTCCGCTCATCTGCCTTTATTTAACCACTGGAAATACATCTCTCTCTTACTTGGTTATTCACTCCCATTATAATTCAGAGACTCCATCTATAATGTGATATAACGTGACTTTTATCATGAAGTATTATTCCAAAGACTCTCTTCCCCCAACGCTTCAGGAATTCAGTCTTGTTAAATTACGTTTGATCTATCTTATATTTACCTGAAGGTGAGTTTTCATGTCTCGTTATCAGAATTGACTCCTGTGTGATTTTACATCTTATAAAATATTCACGTGAGACGAATGTATGTTAAAGTCGGTGTGTGGGTAGGCCTATATTGTATTACGATTGATAGGTGTATTGGAGTGGCATACGTTTATGATGAATTTATATGTAAGTGTTTGTATAAATACGTACAGTATATGCTAATGAAAAATATTACAAATGTTAATTAAGGCTGTGGATGTTAAAAAACGCTACAGGGTCCTTAAATAACTTTAAACAATGCTAAATTATTCAACACAACGCTAAATAATGTTATATAGTTCTAACTAACGCTACATATATTTAATTAATGCTAAATACGGCTCACATAATGTTATACACAACGTTACGTGAAGTCCTCCACTACCTCTTTGCAATTCAGCGAGCCTCAAACACCCACAACCGGGTCTCGTATTTACAAAACTTTCTCCTATTTACAACTTACTAAGGATACTGTTCCCGACCCGCTAATTGGGTGACTTCTGTAAGTGATTTAAAACTTTTACACGGAACTTTGTTGACGAGAGTAATCAGTGAAGAGTCCTTAGCAAGTTCGTTTTAGGATTTACATTAGGACTGGTTAAAGTTGGTTGATTAGGTTGGGTTCAGAGTTCATTGTGTATGAAGTGGATTAAGATTTGAATTAAGTTAGACTGTATGGGGATTAGAACTGGTTAGGTTAGGTTAGGTTAGGTTAGGTTAGGTTAGGTTAGGTTAATGTGAAGATTGGTTTGTGTTACTGTGGATTAGGTTAAATATTCATGAAATTCTATCAGCAATTTGATTACCTTACACATCTGAATTGGATAACGAGTTACCTCCTAAGTTTCACTATATAACATATATGTATAAACTTGTGTTGAATTTAGTAAAGCATCATTTTAGCTGCGCTGTTTAATTATAATTTATATAATTGGCTCAGGGTTGTGTAATATTAACTCAGCATTAGTTTATATTATTTTGCGTTTTTTTTTTTAATGTTAGGATTATATCTTAATGAGTCTTATATGAGATAAAGAAGGTTTATTTAATTTCGGGTACACAAATTTCTGTTCGAGAAAGGTAAAATTATTCTGGTTAAGTTTGGATAATCACAGGACGGTCATGTGGCCACACAAGGTCAATTAAAATGTAGTTTGTTCGTGAAAATATGAAGGAGGCCGGATGTTTTTTTCTTTTCTAAACCTTGGATTATTATTATTATTATTATTATTATTATTATTATTATTATTATTATTATTATTATTATTATTATTATTATTATTATTATTATTATTATTATTATTATTATTATTATTATTATTATTATTATTATTATTTTTATTATTATTATTATTATTATTACATTATTATTATTACTATGTTACCATTATTATTTTAGTATAATTTGAATTATTATTTATACATCATCACTATTATAAATAATAAAAATAATAATAATAATAATAATAATGATGATAATAATATAGTAGTACTGCACCACCTTTACTATTGTCATAATCACGTTGTGTCTCCCCCGCTCGCTTTCATCAGAATATGATCAACAAAGTTCCTCTATGTGAAACGACTCTGAGGGTAATTATAGTAACTCATTTCGGCCAACTTTTTTTTCGAATTAATGTTCCTGAACAGCAATTATACTTAATTGCATTGGAAATCAATTGCCGTTTTCCGTAATATGAGTCTGTATTACATCCAGTGAGCATTGATAAACATAATAACATTTTCTATAAACGTAATTATATTTTTCTAGTATATTATAGTTCTTCCTAATGACCTCGTGCTCTCCTGGTGATGATGTTTGGTGGTAAATCACCTGACACTTCCCTGGTCCAGCACCTAACACTTCCCTCGTCCAGCACCTGGTACTTCCCTGGTCCACCACCTGATACACTCCCTGGTCCATGTCTTGAGCTACACGCCGTATCTCAGCACCTCGTCAGGAGGCGACATGTTAAATTACAACAAGTGTGAGAAGTCTCTATTTTGTGTAAGACTCTGAGGCGGGGACTCCCCCTCATGAGACAATGACTGGTAATGAGGTGCCAGCGCGTGTAATCGCCTCTTCTCCAGCTATGATTCATGACTTAAAAATGTCACTTGTGAGGGAAGACACGAAGGAAGAGAATCGTACAGTCGACTTTACCGCTTGATGAGAGAGAAACGTCGTTTGTGGGATTGTGTGAAGATTGTGTCATGACAGAGGTGTTGACTCGATTTTAATCCCTGTGAGACTGAAATGGAGAAGAGAATTATGGGTTTAAGGCCTGTCTGCTTGAAAGCACAGTACTTAAAATTTGTCTACGTGACGACATAGGACAGAAATACCTCAAACTTATTACAGGGGACTTGAAATAAGTTTCACTCTCCCACATCCAATCAATACATATGAAGTTATAAAAATCGACACAGTTTCAAATGATACGAAGATACTCATATTTAAGTATACAATATGTCACCTGAGGAAGCAGGAGGCCACGCTTAAAGTCG